GGGAATTTGAATCTACTTAGTCATTATAATAATATTCTTGTATGCATGTACGGGGAATTTGAATCTACTTAGTCATTATAATAATATTCTTGTATGCATCTACGGGGAATTTGAATCTACTTAGTCATTATAATAATATTCTTGTATGCATGTACTGGGAATTTGAATATTGTCATTCTCAGTGCGAGGGTTTTCTTTGGGATTTTCTGGAGGCGGGTTGTTCTATCCTGCCTGTCACGGCCAACCCAGAATAAAGCTTATTGTTAATCAGAAATGTGCGTTTCACGTAATGTTATCTCTTCTTCTTCTTCTTCTTCTTTTTTTTCTTCTTCTTCTTCCTCTTCTTCTTTCTCTTCCTCTTCCTCCTCCTTCTTCCTCTTCTTCCTCCTCTTCTTCTTCTTCTTTTTTTTCTTCGCCTCCTCCTCTCCTCATCTTTTCTTCTTCTTTTTCATCTCCTTTTCCTCCTGCTCGTCCCCCTCCTCCTCCTCCTTCTTCTTCTTCTTCTTCTAGTATTGTTTCTACATATTATTATTTCCCAAAAGCCTCCCTTTGAATGTACTAGAAAAAACCTGTATACAGCAGCCGGCCCTAGGCGCCTAATAAACCCTTTGGAAATCGACCCCAGACATTATCATAGTAGACCTACTCTGTGTCCACATAGGATAGGTGAACTGCAAACCACTTTTTCTTGACGAAATTTGTTCATTGGTAGTTCTTTTCAGGTTTCTTTTCGTTTTGTGTTTTTAATGAAGCACCTTTTATTCTTTCTTAATTCATTGAAAATAAAACAAACAAAAAAGCCAACCTCTGTGTATTAATTTCACGGATTTACTTCCTATTATTACCTTAATTCTCTGTGCCGAAGTTCAGGTGGCAGTGAGCAAAGCAAAAATTCTTTTCAAATGATCTGTTGAGTTGATTAGGGAGGGCGTTTTCAACAAATACACAAACAAATGGCTTCTGCCTGCACTGTCTCTCACACACACGAACATCCACACACACACACGCACACACGCACACACAATGTGTCATGCAAACAGACAGACAGAGACAGAGAGAGAGAGAGAGCGAGAGAGAGAGAGAGAGAGAGAGAGAGAGAGAGAGAGAGAGAGAGACAGACAGACAGACAGACAGACAGACAGACAGACAGACAGACAGACAGACAGAGGAGGGGGGTTGGGTTGGGTGAGACGAAGGGGGGCAGCAGGACAGAAGGAGAGAAACAGAAAAACCCAAACAGGCGGACAGACTGACAGATAGACAGATGGATAAACAGAAAGACAGATGGCCAGTTGTTGTTGTTTTTTGTAAGTGTTTTGCGGCGCTCGCAGCTGTATAAGGTCGTATGAGCGTGCGGGACACACCAAACATTTACAGTTGGAAGGAAATTTTGAATTTTGCCAGGGTGGTGGCTGAACCCTACTCTTATTGGTTTTAGACCACCAAGGGATCTTTAACGTGCCCAGCTTACACCCGGGACGTCCGAGTTTTTTCGCCCTTGTCCGAGAAGGATATGTGTAGATCTTTCCTACCAGAAGATCAGGGGTGTGGCTGAAAGACAGCAGTGAGAAGGAGCCAAGGGATAGCAGTCGAAAGGCTGCAGAAAGAGTCAGGATCCCAGAGGAGGGGGCAAAGGAGGTGAGGGGGTGGGGGCAGAAAGTAGAAATGTAAGCAGACAACAGAACGTTGCTAGAGAGCAGGAAAGAAGGTAAAAAGAAACAATTTTAGAGAAGAACATTTTTCAGTCACTACCCAGATTTGAAACCGAGACCTTTGAATGAAAGGCGAACACCTTAACCTCTAGACCACGAGAGCCTCCCTACACTGGTGTGGGAAAAATGGCACCCACTGATTCCACCGCGTTGTGACACAAATTGTTGCCTTCGTTGTCTTTTTAATTTTTTTTTATAGTAGAGGGTTTTACGGCGCTCGCAACTGCATAAGGTCATATGAGCGCCAAGGGGTGGGTGTCGACAGAGAAGTCTTTACAAGGAATCAGACATAGACTGCTCACCTCTCTAGCTTCAACAGCACAAGGT